GATAGAGCCCCGTGTCTGCTACCTAACCTATGTCCACTTGTTTTGTAGCAAGATAGCCACTCTGGGATGGAAAACAATTCATATCTTATGCACCATTCTGATGAAACAGTGGAGGCAAATCAATAAAATACATGAAATAGCAGAAGCAGTTTATTACTGATAAAGAGTGAGAATAGCATAACTTACAGATCCAATAGGCGGCACAATGCTGTCCAGGACACAAGTGTGCATCTAGAGAGTAGGGAATGAAAGATAGAGAGGAACTTGTGGTCAAAGATTTTATTGGGTATTAAGGAGTAAATCAAATAGGTTTCCTGAGGGAAGATCTTACTGCTGTAGCTGAGAAGCAATCATTACTTTTGCTCAGTTCTTGGGGCCAAGTCAAGAACATGATACCCAGCTATTCTGCAGAAAAGGATATAGCAAGCCGGGCGCCAGTGGCTCAGGCCTGTAATCCTAGCTACATAAGAGGCTGAAATCTGAGGATCACGGTTCAAAACCAGCCTGGGCAGGAAAGTCTGTGGGACTTTTATCTCCAATAAACCATTAGAAAACCAGAAATGGCACTGTGGCTCAAGTGGTAGAGTGCTCACCTTGAGCTGAAGAGCACAGGGAGAGCACCCAAGCCCAGAGTTCAAGCCCCTCAACGGAAAAAAAAAAGAAATAGCAGGAGGTGACTGTATATTAAAGGTATCTATCTGATCAACCTCACTGAGAAAATAGAAGGAGTAAAAGAAATAGAAATTGTACAGTGACTGAACTCAAAATTACAAGAATTTACTCCAAACCTATTCACTACAGTGAGGTAACATTTGATGTCATTTTCATGGAATTTTCCCCAGAATGGCAAGGTCTGAAATCAAATGGTAGTGATCTGAGCAGTTAATCAAAGGTTGGAAAAATGTGGACAAAAATGTAAACATATCTTAAAAGAAAACATTCTGCGAAATTGAAGAAATAAGGCAATACTTTGAAGGGCCAACATTTGAAATGTTGTGATTGATAGAACTGGAAAATATCTAATCAAAATTAGCTTTGATATCACTGTCTTTAAGATCACTTTGAAATAATGAGACAACAGTTTTTCATTACAACTTTACTAACATAGATTTTTCCATTAAATGTAAATGATTGTTATCCCAGTAAAATCTCATTGTTTTGCTCTCCTTCTATCTCAACAACAAAGATTAAATACAGCCTAGCAAAAAAAAATAAATTGACTTTAAATGAACGAGGAAAACATTGGTGCAACATGAATTTGAAGAAGACACAAGGAAATAATAGCAAATGAAATGCCACTTCAGTAAAGAAAATTTAATATCAAAGTGTAGCTATTGACTTAAGGTCTACTAAGTGTAAGACACAATATTTGATTTGGGAAATTTCAACTGACTGAGATTGATTGCTTTTTCATTTTTTCATCTAGAATTTCTCTCTTTCTACTTTTTCTTCTGTAGGAAATTTGCTTTGTCTTCATGTGATTTTTTTCCCCAGCCTAATGAGTTCCAAGAGATCAAGAAAAGGGAAGAAGCTAACTAGGACAAAATCATGTAAGTTACACTCATAATGTGGGACAAACATTTAAGAAATACAAACAGTGATGGTATTTGTTCAAATAGACATTACATTTGGCATCTCCAAGATATCAAATGATCAGGTCTCTAATATATCAAATGATCTGGTTTATCATGAATTTAAAGAAATAATAGGAATAAATATCACTTGAATAAAGAAAATTTTGTATCAAAATGTAGATATTTTTCAAAATCTATTAAGTATAAATATTGAGTTAGAAGGATTAAATACAAGTTCCTCAGGAGAAGTCTTTTTACTTAAATTTTTAAAAACTTATTTGATATAACCTCAGAGTGTGAAGAAATCTGGTATATGATAATATTTGATATATAGTGACAATTAATGGATTATGTTGTGAAGATGATTTGTATTGATGTCTATAGAAAGAAATGATGCATATAAGGAAACATTTGCAGAAAGTTTTCACAGTAACATAAAAACTAAATTTTGTCTTTGGGATTATGTAGCAGGAAGAAAAAGAAAAAAAAAAGACATTTCAAGAAGAAACAGCAGAATGTGCAAATAAGCATTTGTCTCAAAACCTGGAAATATAAGGGATCTTGTTAGAAGTCAACTGGTGAATAAAAAGAACTGTAAAGGTTAATTCACATAGTAATGGTTCTACTATCCAAGTAAAGAGTTCTGATCCATTTTCTGTGTCCAAAGAACAACTGTTTAATAGGAAATACATTAAAATATTTTCCTAGAGTAATAGGCATATTTAAATTCTGGTTCTTTAGTAATAATGATACATCTGTTGATTTTGAGTCTAAATAAGATGCAGCTTATGATCTTAAGTATTAAAATACTATTAAGATGTCTTTAATGTTGCAAATCTTATTTCCAGTTTACTGACAACTTTGTTCTGGTTTGTTAATACATATATATTTTCTTTAAAAAAAATCCCCTTGAAACAATATAATATTACTCTATTATTAAAATAATATATATAAATTCTTGTCATAAATTCCTGGTATGGTACAAGCACTTGGAAATTGTTGAAGACTAATTTGAAATAAATGTTCATTTATTTTTTGTAGAATTCCTGACATTTACATTTAAATTCCTTTTCATCTAGTGATAAATAGATTTTTCAATTTTTATTTTCATTCAGAATATCTCGCATTTCAACAATTTTCAAATGCCTACCACAGCCATAAATAAAATGGTCTCAGTTTGTGACTTCATGGGGGTTCATGTAGGAGAAAAGGTACAAAGTTGACTTCTAGGTTATTTAAATATTCATATGAGTGCATTTTTTATCCCACACAACTGGTATATTTATAAACCTAATATTTGGTGTTATCATAATCATGTTGAGAGATATTCTCCAACAATGACTTTAAAACTCATAAAACAAATAAATGCATTGTACTCATATAAGTAAAAGCATATAATTCATATGTACATTACTCTCAATGGTTAAATATTTCCTTGAATTTTAAAATAATCTATAAAAAGCCCAGCTCAATAATGACTCTACATGGTTTCTTTATAACTTACATTCTGACAGTTTCACAATTAATGAATGTTCAGCAAAAAGGCTGACCTTCTGAGTGACTGGAGAAGTGCAAACTTAGAAGGGAAAAATGCTTTAGACTGTTTATTGAAGGCTATCAGTCATTATCTTTTAGAAGGAATGTTAAGTTATGGAACCATGACTAAGAAATTTTACCCATTCTCTAATATTTGGGAGTTCTTCATATGATAAAACTTCATGCTATTTCATTTTATAGTTTATTTTCAATAAAAAATATTAAAAGCCCCATCCACCTTGTAAGTGACCTCTTTTCAAAGACTCAACTTCCAATCATATGAAGTCTCAGATAAGAAACATTTGATATAAATGACTCTGGCATTCATTTCCAAGCTGAATCTACAGAGCTGCCACACACAGATGACTTCTCCTACCTAGGATTGGGTCAGTGGTTCATTTACTTAAAGGTTAGTGTTAATGCGATCATTCTCATACAAAAAGCCTCGTGGACACAAACTTTGAAATCAAACAGACCTACATGTATTCTCCTGAATCTCAGTTATTTCACTTCTAAAATTGGAGAGTAGCACCTACTATTCTATATTTGAGCATGAAACCGAATACCTCAATTTTTATTAGGAAAACAACTCACTGTATACATTATATATTCTATTGATCATTAGCAAGTAAAACATTGTAATGACAATGCATAGATGTCAATATATCTGTTCAATTTGGAGGTTCACCAACAATTTTAGATTATCCTTTGTCTCTGACAATTATTATCCATTTTAATACTACCCTAGTGACTGAATAAAGCATGAAAATAAACAAGTAATGTGATTATATTATCAAGGTATCCTATTTAATGAATACATGGTTGAGTGAATCCGCTATTTAGAATAATGGGGGATCAAACAAAGGTTGAGATAGGTGGCATTACCAGGCGGCAATATACTGGTCTTGTAACCTTGAAAATTTCACCAATCCCTTTGGTTTTCCTTGTCTTCCACTTGAAAATGTAGAGATGTGACATTTATTTCCCATTCCCATAACTTCTGTCTGTGATTTTCCAGGAAAACAATTGGAAAGTTAGTTGTAGTGATTTTTACTTCTTGTTTCTTCATTTATTTCCACATTAGGTGAATATGATGTGTACTTCGTCCTTAAAATCTAGTTTTTTAGCCAGGTACCAGTGACTCATGCTTCTAATCCTGGATACTCAGGAGGCTGAGATTGGAGGATTACAGTTCAAAACTAGACCAGGCAAGAAAGACCCTGAGACTGTTATTTCCAATAAAGTACCAAAAAGCCAGAATGGGAGCTATGCTATGGCTCAACTGTTAGAGCACTAGCTTTGAGCAAAAATGCTCAGGGAAAGGGCCCAGGCCCTAAATTTAAGTCCCAGGACCAGCATGCACGCGCGCGCGCACACACCCACACACACACACACACACATCTAATTTTTTAATAAGGATAAGGCATATATGTGAATAAAATATTCTCAAAGGCATGAATAGATTATATATGAAATTTATAATGAAGGAAAATTTAATTTCAGTTAAACAGATGCAATGGAGGGAGGAGAATTAAGGAAATCTTAGAGGAGGTACTGTTTTAGCTGGAGTTTCAACATCTGTACATTGAACAGAAGGCACTTGCTCCCTGAGGAAATAATGTGAGCAAAGCCTTACAGGAATAGGAAACTGGGTGCAGTTTGACTCTGTAATTGGATTTATTAAAGAGAGTACTGGGAAAGGGTTAGCTGAATACCAATCAATTTGCAAATGCAAAGACACTGGGAATTTGGGGAAGGGAGGTGCAAGAAAGTTTTATTTCAAGATAGGATTCCTGATCAAGTATTGTGCATTGTTTGTAAAGTGAATTTTGATTGCAGATGTCCCAAGCAAAATCTCTAGTGGAATTCCCCCTTTTTTTTCTTGTCCAGGCTGCTGATGTGTTACTGCAACATGGAGCAAATGTCAATGTTCAAGATGCAGTTTTTTTCACTCCATTGCACATCGCAGCTTACCATGGGCATGAGCAGGTAAGTCTGACAGTGGGACCTCCAAAGTCTCAGAGACTGCTTAAGTGCACCAGACTTTTGTCATATTCTTTGATTAGTGTCTATTCTCACAGCTTCCCCCTTGAGGTGTTTATAGATTCATATAAGCACTACAACTGCCATGCTATTTATTTTTACTGTAAAGTACCCAAATGAGGCAATAGATTGCATTAATACGTGTGCAGCCACAGGAATCAGCTTGAATTTGGAAAATCCCCACCTAGCTTTATGATCATGTATAAATTATAGAAGCTTTCTACCCTTCATTTCTCCATCTAAACAAGGGAAAATTATTAAAAGGATCTTTCTTACAGGGGTGGTAATGAAATATAAATTGTATGACAAATGGTCAGTATATGTCACTGTGATTATGCAAATAATAATAACAACAAAACAAATCATAAAGGCCTTTCCAACAGTTTTCTAGACAAAGGTGTCTTTTAAAAATTTTATTTGTTTCTATTCTTGAGGGATGTGGTAGCTTAAAAATGCTGCTTGAGGGCTGGGAAGTGGTAGAGTGCTTGCCCTACATGCATGAGACCCTGAGTTCCATTCCTCAGCACCACATAAGCAAAAAAAGCTACAAGTGGCACTGTGGCTAAAGTGGTAGAGTGCTAGCCTTGAGCTGAATAGCTGAGGGACAGTGCCCAGACCCAGAGTTCAGGCCCCACAACCGACAAAAAAAAATGTTGCTTGAAATATGTACATAGTCAAATTGATGGAACTTGTAAATGTTACAAGAAACCTCACAACTATGCTTAAATTAAGAACTTCAAGGTGGGGTGATTATCATAGATAATCTATTAGGACTGAACATTAGCAAGGATCCTTAGCAGAGAGAGAATAAATTAGAGTAAGTGTTGAATAAAACAATAGAAACCAGGGCTAAAGTAATGGAGATATAAGGAATCCAGGTAACTTGTAAAAAGCTAAGAAAACAAAGGGGATATTATTTTTATTTATTTACTTATTTTGAAAACTCTAAAATTGGCTATTATTTTCTCCTTCTTACCAGTGATTCATATAAAACTCAGGCAAGTCAGGTCAGAAGACTAATAGGAAGAAGTAAAGGAGTATGTACTCAGGTCTGTGGAATCCCCAAAGATATTTATACATTTGTGCAAAACATCTCTTCTATAATTTCTTTTCACCCAGTGAAAATAGTACAAATCTAGGCAACTGTATTTTTCTGAATACACAGTCATAATTCAGGAGAATATACTCTTAACTACAAATTCCACTACTTTACATCCTAACACACAGAAAGACTAACTTTGTATCTGCCATCTTCAAACACTGCCATTTAGCTATTCTTGAGAAACTAAAAACAAAACAGAAATGTGAATATGATTAAATAACCAAACACAACTGTTGCTTTGGACATATTGTTTTCATTCTACTTTGCTTTCTCCCGAGGTGCACTTGATAGAATTAGACATGTTTAACATCCTGGAGGTTATACCACAGCACTGCCTGAGGGTTCCAAGTTGAAAACTAAAATTTTCTTGTGTCCTTGAGCTGCTCTAGTTGTTGTGACTTTATTCCTCTGCTAGCTGGCATATGCTGGGGCACTCTCAGACCTGTAAAGCGTGACCTACAGCTAGAAGAGATTGCTCATTTCATTTATGTGCTGCTCAAAGTGCACTAAAGTGCACTGGAGAGCCAGTCACTGAAAGTGGGTTGGAAAGTGCAGGATCCAAAAGCCCAGGTAATGGAAAAAGTCCATACTTTTCTGACTTCAGCATGGACAAAATATATCCAAACCATGCTGTTTGTAAAGTCATCTTCTTTGGTGATTAACCTTGTAACCCAGCAGAAAGATAAAGAGCCTCTATGCATGCTGGGTAGTGAGCTAAATTTGTTTACTTTCCCTGAAAATATAGTCACAGTCATAAAATTATGCTAAAATGTGGATGGCCCTTTTATGATAAGGGACTCACTTTCTGTATATAAGCACATAAGTAATTTATGGAAGCTATTGTCATTTGCTAAAATATGCTGACAAAGAGAATGGTACTCGATATATAAATGTGCCTAATGCTCCATGTTCCCTGCCATTGGTTTATTTACTTATTTTTAAATGGAAGAAAAGATGTTTTGTACCAAGAGCAATATTTCCTAGGTATGTAATAATAGTGTTTAATAGACAATCGATTTCAGAGCTAACTTAAATCTATCCATTATAAAGTCACATAATCAGAATTTATGGAGTCTCTGTAAGTGGAAATATGTGCTTAGGAGTACAAGGTCCTAGAAAGTAAACTTCTGCTGGCCTGATATCTCTGAATTAAGCTTTGATCTGCCCTTTAGCCAGCAGAAAACCAAAGTGTTCAGGTTCTTTGTTGGCATCACTGCTTTTACAGTCACTGAGTTTCACTCACTTTATTGAGAGATTTATATGTAATGACTTCTTTAATGCTTACAACTCCAGAAATAGAGCTATATTATTCCCTGTTAGAAATGATGGCAATGAAGAAACTGAAGATGGGATGACTTGTTCTGGCTAATCTTACCTAATGAATAGAAACCAGATTCCAGAATTCTTGCTCATAGCTCATATATGTAATAGGAAACCATTTACCCATAATGCACCCTGCTAGCATTCTGCCTAGAATTTCTATCTAGTGTTTTTCATACTTTAGAGAAGTTTCTACACAAGTCCTGTTTCTTGACTGTGGAATAGGAAAGGGTAAAGTAGTTCAAGAGCTTGAATTCACTTTTGTAATGGCATCTCAGTGGCCAGGACAGTAATTAGCACTCCCTTAACTATGGATTTTTAATTACACACACACACACACACACACACACACACACACACACACACACATTCTACCTTACCTAGTAGGTTCACTGAAGTGAATTTTGAAATTCTCAGGAAAGAGAATTAGGAAATTATGTGAATGTTCCTTATTATGCATGTAAATAACTCAAAAGAATTCTATAACATATCTGAAACACCAGCAGGAAAACTGCTAATTGCTTTGTTAATTTATTTTTCTCTACTTCTTCTAACATGGAGTCCCAGCTAATTGGAGACTGCTGGGGCTACTGGGGCTGTCTCTCCTTTATTCAGATATCCAGAAAAAATGCCAGAATTCCAACATGTAGGAACATAAACAATGATCATTGAGCTGCCATGAAAACCAAGAGTGAATTAAACTACTATTAATCTGTCTATAAAGAAAATATGAAAAATAGATTGTTCAGAAACAAATTGTTTAAGTAGGGATACAGGTGGACCCATTCCAACAATGAGATGTACAAGATGTTATATCGAAAAACAAACTTTACAACTTTGGTGGGGTGGGGGTGGGGTGGGGAGGTGGCAGATGGGAAGGGATGGGAAGGGGAAACAAAGGAGGAGGCAACAATGCTTGATAAGAAATGTATTCATTTGGGGCTGGGAAGGTGGCTCAGTGGTAGAGCGCTTGCCTTGCATGCATGAGGCCCTGGGTTCGATTCCTCAGCACCACATAAGCAGGGAAAAAAAGCCGGAAGTGGTGCTGTGGCTCAAGTGGTAGAGCACTGACCTTGAGCTGAAGAGCTGAGGGACAGCACCCAGGCCCAGAGTTCAGGCCCCACGACCGGACGCCCCCCCCAAAAAAAGAAAGAAATGTACTCATTACCTTGCCCATGTAATTGTGACCCCTCTGTATGGTATTTTCACAATTTAAAAAAAAGAAAAAAAAGAAAAGGTTATGGGTGATTTTAGAGTAGTTCATTTATATGCAATGAAGATATGCATTGTAAAATTGATAAGTGGGGATACTTGAAAAAATGGCAAAAGTAAAATTTCAAAACTTAAGTAGAGTGAATTTTCTTTTTGTTTTTTTTTTTTAATTTCTTCCTACCTGCTCCCATCTTCTCAATAACTCTAATACAAGACTACTAAACAATGTCTCAATTCAGCAATAAACACACATATATATGTCAGATATTGTACATTCATATTAAACAGATTATCTCTTTGACCTTCATTACTGAAAAGAGATAAGTCACATCATTATTTTTATTTTATCTATAATGACACAGCATGAGAATAGCCATTTTCTCAAGATCTACATCTAGTATGAATCAGATTATAATTCTAAGGCTACCTTATTGTGGACCTTGCATCTTTTTTGGACCTTAACTCCTAAACAAATATACTGCATTGCCTCTAAATTTAAAGCATTAATTATACACAATAGGATCAATAGCAGGCACTGTAGGTCAATTTTGAAAAAAAATTATCATACTGATAATTACCACTTCACGCCACACGTGTTTGTTTGCTTGAACACTCAGGATTTTATTCCACTGCTCACTTGTCTTCTGTTGGTTCTATTTAAAGAACTGTTCCAACTCTCTAGACACTATGTTTTATATCATGGTTACATCAAGTCATTCAGCCAATCTTTCCTCTTGCCTGGGTATTAATTTAGAGAATTGTCTAATTTAGGCCAAGGAGGTAGTGGAAGCTGGTTTCTAGGGAAAGAAGAAGGAAGAGGAGGAGGAAAAGGAAGAGGAGAGAGGAGGAGAGGGAAGAAGGGAGGAGAGGAGGGAGAGGAAGAAGAGAAGAAGAAAAAGGAGGAGGAGAAGAAGAAGAAGGAAGAGGAGGAGGAGAAGAGGAGAGGAGGAGGAGGAGAGGAGGAGGAGTAAGAAGAAGGAGGAGGAGGAGGAAGGAAGAAGAAAAAGAGGAAGAGAAGATGGAGGGAGAGGAAGAAGAATAGGATGAGGAAAAGGAGGAAGAAGATATATATTTGTATATATATTTATATAATATATTACAACATATAATATATATATATATATATATATATAATCAGTTATTCCAAAAAGTAGAAGTAGTTTCTTACTCTATTCTGTATTTTGGTTTATCATTTTATTTCTGGAGCTGCTACACAAGTCTGTTGCTGCTATGAGGATGGTAGAATTGGAAATCCTAATGGAATTGCTCCCATTTTGGATTTTGTATTTATGTTGCTCAATACTAAGATTCAAGCCAGTGGAGTAAGAATTTTCTGTTATATTCAGATGAACATAACCTGAGAAAACCTTAATGACATGTGCTCCATGTTTTCAACATTTTGCAATATTGTTTGACTTTCTAAACTAATTTCAAATGAATGGATCCGATCCTTCAGATAACACGCCTTCTTTTGAAACTTGGTGCTGATGTAAATGTAAGTGGTGAAGTTGGAGACAGACCACTCCATCTAGCATCTGCAAAAGGATTCCTTAATATTGCAAAACGCCTAATGGAAGATGGGAACAAAGCAGATGGTAAGATTATGATTAGAAAGCCTTGCTGTTTTTCACATTATGTATAGTTAATTTCTACTAATACTTCCTGTGTTTGGCAGAGAATAACCTTAAAGTTGACTAATCCTATAATCTGGTGCTAATTTGTTCTAGAAACAATCATTTCTTTTTTTTTTTTTGTCGGTCGTGGGGCTTGAACTCTGGGCCTGGGCGCTGTCCCTCAGCTCTTCAGCTCAAGGCGAGCACTCTACCACTTGAGCTACAGCGCCACTTCCGGTTTTTTGGTGGTTTATTGGAGATAGGAGTCTCACAGTCTCTCCTGCCCGGGCTGGCTGTGAACCGCGATCCTCAGATCTCAGCCTCCTGAGTAGCTAGGATTACAGGCGTGAGCCACCAGCGCCGGGCAACAATCATTTCTTTTTTAAAACAATATATATATATTTAAAAACATTTGTTTTGAATGTGGCTACCAGCAGCATGCTTATCCAAGTTATCCAAGTGAATATATGCAGTTATTTTTCTTTAGTGTATATATTAGAATAGAATTGCTGCACTAAGGAGGGCACACATATTAGCTTTTCTAGGAAATTTCTAGACATATTTACAAAGTTTTTGTACTATTTTTGACTGTACTAAGCAATATATCACAATATATATCACAATATATCACAATGTTCAATGTTGCATTATTATAAATTTTAGTTGACACTAAAATTATTATTAAGTGGTTGTACAAAGAGATTATAATTTTTATAATGATAATGATAAGGATAATTTTTAAAATTTTGATAGTGATACAGTTTGAGTGATAATTTTGAAAAATAAAATTTAGAATCCATAGCAGAGCATACTTTTCCTCCCTTTTTTCACATTTTTTAAATGAACAACTAATTGTCCAGTTAATTTCATATATACATATGGGATGTGCCTTGATCCTACCATTTCCATATACCTTGATTAGATGCACCATTTCCATCACACTTACTTATCTTCCTCCCCCTCTGCTGAAACCAATCTCTACAACCTTCATTTTTGCCATTTTCACAACTGCACAGAAAGTATTTTGACCATATTCACATCCCTCACCTCTTCTATCACCCTCCTCATTCCCACTACTGCCTTCGCCTTAAGCAGGACTTATTCTACATTCTTGTCATTCATTTGTTTCAGTTATTGCGGATTGTGATTGAGATTGTGGCATTTCACTTGTGTACACAGCATTTTAATCCTTGCCCCTCCTTTACTCCTGTTTCCCCCCATTGCCACTACTATGATTATTCTGCAGCTTTTACTGAGTTTCCTCTATCAACTTTATTCACAGATGTATTTATTTGGTCTTGCTTATTTTCTAACATTCTCTTTGAACAAAATCCTCTCAAATTGTCCACAGTCACAAATGTTATATACTCACACAGATGTGTGTGTACATGCACACACATATCTGATTCTGTGTGTGTTCACAGCTATGTTTTTCTTTCATGTTTAACATTCATATATGAGAATAAAAAACGTGCAATCTTTATCGCTCTGAACCTGGTTTACTTTATAGGAAGTCTTTATGTTCAGATGCTTGATAACATTTTCTTGCCTCTTTACTTTTAAAATTATAACAGAACTTTTGGAAAGTTGATTAAAAGAAGAGTTACTAAAAAAAATCTCCCTCATAAACTTTTATTTTTCTGACACAAATTCACTGAGAGTTACATCTTGCCATTAAATTCTCTCAGGCATAACCAACATTCTTCCATTGACCCCCTAGAGACCTAATTAAAAGCCCAGCTGTAAGAGCTCTTGGCCTTTGCAGCAGGATGATGCACGTTTCCAAAAGGACATGGTTGTCAAACCTGTAGAACTGCCAGTTCCTTGGCTCAGAATTCAGATTGATACTCAGCTAATAAAGCTATGTTTTCATTACTTACAAAGAAAGCAGGAAGCTTCCCAGATACAACTGAGGCAAGAGGTGAGGGCAGCTTCCAGTTCCCATGTCAGTAGCAGGGATTATATTATTTGTAAACTTGAAGATGTGTGGTTTGCATTGTTTTCTATAAACCAGTGTGCTCTATCACTCAGACATCTACTCTCTGACATTATTATAGACAATGTCTGTTGTCAGAACAAAAGAAAAGCTGTTCCTTGGTTCTTATTTAAAGTCTCTCGTTTTGTTTAGAACAGGGAAATATGCATTTGTGTGAATCACAAAACATATAGTTGTATTTTTGAAACTGCTTCGCTCTTCCATGAGGTCAAGGGCTGCATCAGTTTTTTCTTTATTATCAATGCAAACTTCAACTTTTTATTCTTCTGAACAATCCCGAAGCCTACTCATGGCAAAATGAGTGTCATTTATGATCAGCATGCCTCCAGGATCAAAGAACTCTTCTGCAAAAGGCAGTGTGAATGTAAACTGCACCCGCGCTCCTCTTACATACCAGTATGATACAATATAATTTTCAGCGTTTGCTTTCCAAATCACAGAAGTACAATGTGCCTCCTACTCAATCATTTAGAGAAAAATCAAGACAGTATGACTCGACCTTTTATTTTCTTAGAGTGCAACTTGATATTTAAGTCCCTTTTTGCAGTTGAAGCAATTAAAAAAAGGAAAGAAAATGCTGTGGATACTGTGCAGGACTTATTAATAGTTACTTCTTTCATTTCTAAGTGTAACTAAACCTCAAGATGATTTATTTTGTCTCAACTTCTCCTAGGGTAAATGGACTTACAAAAAGATTAAACGAATAACTCCCAAAGGGGTAAAAATTGAAACCTGGTATTTACAGTGTGTTTCTAGGGTAACAGAATATCACAAATGAGAAGAAACCCAGGTTACAAAATTGGCCAAAATGTAATTCTGAAAGCAGGTTCTTCAGTTCAGTATGCTTAAAATACTAACCTATTCAAGTCCTAGTCTATTTCTTTGTATCTCCTAGGGCATAGAAAAGGGAGAAATGTAGTATTTGTTGAATGAGGTTGAAAGGTCAAAATATTCCAGAACTCTATGTGAAAAAATAATAAGGCTCAAAATTTATCACTTTGATAAAATTGAAACTGAGAAATTTTAAATTCAGAATTGATTAATATTTGTCATTTTAATGTTAAATGCCAGTTATTTTATGCAACATTATTCTTTTATATGAAACTAGTTAAAATCGAAATCTATGAGCTGGATGTAGTGGCTCATAGGTCTCATCCTTCCTACTCTTGAGACTGACTCAGAGGGTTGCAGCTGAAAGCCAGCCAGAACAAAAAGTTCTTGAGACTCCACCTCAATGGAATAAATTAGCATGCTGGTATGAGCCTGACACCCTTAACTATGGAAGTAAGCATAGAACTATAAGAGCATGTTTCAAGACTATGGGCTGGGGAAGGGCCCACCCCATCAAGAATGTCAGAGTTTGTCTTCCTGTATATTTTCAACCCCTCCCCACCTCGGAGCCTCAAAGTGACTTGACCCCACCCTGTTGAGAAAAGAAAGAAAGAGAGGGAGGGAGAGAGAAGAAAGAAAGAAAGAAAGAGAAAGAAAGGAAGGAAGGAAGGAAGGAAGGAAGGAAGGAAGGAAGGAAGGAAGGAAGGAAGAGAAAGAAAGAAAGAAAGAAAGAAAGAAAGAAAGAAAGAAAGAAAGAAAGAAAGAAAGAAAGAAAGGAGGAAAGGAGGAAAGAAAGAAAGAAAGAGTAAGGGGATTGTGGTCCAGGCCTGGGCATAATGTCTAGTTACCTCAAAACAACTAGTACATAAAAGGACTGGATGTGTGATTCAACAGATGAGTACCTACCTAGCAAGTATGAGGACCTGAGTTCAAACCCCCATACCGAACAAAGAACATCCTATAAAATGTGCCAAGACCATGAGAATCATACCATATTTTGTAGGAGAGAATGCACAGATTTGTCTTTAAAAGTTTATTTGAAACACATTTAATAATTACTTTAAAGAGACTCTAAAATTGGCAGATATTTCTGTGTTCATCTGGAAATTTTTATTTTATCAAGTTCAGTACTCAGAAACAAGGAAATAGCCACCCTCTTTCACACACACACATTCAATCTGCATTGCAAAAGGCATTGCTGACCACCTTCCTGTTGGAAAGTGGAGATCATCTACTAGACAGTTTCCTAAATAAGATTTACATATATTCCTTTGTTTTGAAGTCTCCGTAATCTAAATCTCTAAATAATATATTAAGTTAGAGAAAATAAAATATCACATACATATTCAATTTTTCTATATACACACAGACTATATTGGTGCAAGGGAAAAAAAACTGACATTACAATGTCTAATGTAGCCTTAAACTAGCTGTGCAAACTTACCTGTCGATCTGATCCCATATTTCTCCTTCAGTTGGTATTGACATCTGTTAAAACTGAAAAAATGTTTAGATCACTGCAGGTAATCTACCAAATAGATAATCTACTTTGAAGTATATGCATTCAATTGGGGAAGAATAAGGTTGAATAGAATCTGCACTGACAAAGGAAACAATATCAATTAGTAGAAGATCATATAACATTTTTCTTCTGGACCTTAAAAACCTTTTACCCATCCCTCCAGATGAACTGGGCTCCAAAGGATGTGAGCTCCAGATTGTTTTCATGCATGGACTCATGCATTTGACTTACCCAGCTTTGAATAGAACATGAGGAAAGGGAAGTATCATAAAAACAAGGATAATCAAAAGAACCAGGGACATACTTCTGAAAGAACTACTTAATAGAAAACAAAAGATTCAAGGATTTATTTTGCAATAATAGTCTCAGGAGAAGAAGCTCAGAGACTTTGTTAAAGAATTTTCTTTGGCCTGATATCTTCCAGGACAATGAAATAAGGAAGGTTGTCAACAAATATAATCAGCTAAATGGCCTAAATCAGTGTTTTTTAAGTTGGTGATTTTGTTAGCAATGGAAATTAAACTATATTCAAAATTTTAAAGTTACTATTGCCTTCTTTAGATTTCCCTTACTATTTTTTTTTATCATTTAACTTGCGTCTTTCTTTTAGTCCTTGTGGTTCTTCATATAAAGTAACAAAACAATAAATAAATTTTTCTGAGCATGCCAAATCTATTATATGCCTGTACCAATCCCAGCTACTCAGGAGGTATAGGTAAGAGAATTGGCATATGAAGTTAGTCCTGGAGGCAGGGAAATGCATGAGTTCCTATCTGAAAAACAATTAAAGCAAACTAGTGATAAGGATATGATATGGTTCAAATAGCGTCACCATCACCATCAACAAAACTTTGATTGGGACAAAAGTTATACCATAAAACATGCGAATCCACTTATTTTAATTATGAGATAATGGCTTAAACTCAGATCCATACTAGATTGAGCATTTTGGTGTGCAGTCATTATTATTTCAACTTGTAATAATTAACTATCCAGCTAGACTATTTTAGCATACAGAACATTTCTAAGTGAGGAAATTAGGGAAGAAGTAGTGTAGGTCCTAGTCTGTGTGTGATAGTTGAGTACTAGATGCCCTGCGGTGAAGATGTCCCTTCAACCTTTCAGCTTGCCTAGACCCATTCTTAACGATAAGCCATAAATACATCTAACACCTAGTATTGTGCCTGACACATAGTGATCATTAACCTTACTGTGGAATGAGAGTGTATCAATGTCTCAAGCATCTCAAGCTAAGCATTACTAATTTAAACATTATATGCATAATAATACAGAGAATCTATCCCAGTACACCATAGAAAAACCAAACTTGGAATATTCACAGTACAGTACGGAATCCAAATTCATGCCCCAAAACTAAACTTGTGAAGACACAATACCATTCCTGCTCTAAACACACACACACACACACACACACACACACACACACACACACACACACACACACACATCCCTTAGGTTTCTGGGGCTAACAACGTGAGACCATGAAGCTGTGGTGGGACCTCCTTTCATGAGTAACTGGAGGAAACTATTGCCACCATTACCACATTAACAGGGAATATTACATCTTGCTTTTTGGTCATCAGCATCAAATATGCAGTGTTTTCACTAGAGAAGATTATAAGATAGATAAATATCCTAACCACAGGGCTATTGAGTAGAAGAGTCACTGTTAAGAATTATCTCAGCACAACAAAACTCTCTGTATGGTCACCCTCTACTGATCGTATATCCTCAAAAGAAAAAGAGTCCTGGAAAGCAGACTTTTATCTTCTGTGTTAGAGCATGCTCAGCACAAGGAATTCATTATAGGGAATTCATCAAATATGGAGGAGGCTACAAAGCAGAGTAGTCCAAAGAGAAGGACGAAGACGAAGTGATAAAACAATTAAGTTTTACGTAACTGTCTAAGGTGGCACAGTGAATGAAATCTGCCTTCTCTGATGAGTTTCTCCTTTCCATTATAAGATGCTTTATATAGTGTAGTGTGAAAAATCTCAGTGTAAAGGCTCATCAGCTGCTCCCAAATAGTGTCTTTATTATTCAGATTGTCAGGTTTCACCATAACCCAAAGAACCCAAATTTTTTAGTTGGGCATTCTGTATAAGACCTACAATATTTTTTACAACCTCCAGAGAAGAAAAAAATCAATTTGAAAGTTAATATTTGTGGAAATAAAGTGAAAAGTACCTCCTGGATACTTGCTAGATTTCAGGACCATTCAGAAACCATTCGGATTTATTTGATTAGTTGCATTTGGTAGAACTGAGGGGACTTACAGAAGAACCTATTTGATGTGGTAATTGCCTATTATAGTGTTTTTCTAAATTGATTCCATTTCCTCCCCCCCCTCTGGTAATGCCATTAGTTCTCAGGCATTCAGGACAAGTCTGTGGAAATATATATATATATATATATATATATATATATATATATATATATATATATATATATCTCAAGCAGAGAACAGGTCACTCTAAATGACATACCTTTTTTTTTTTTTTCTTGCTAATGGTAGTGAATGCTCAGGATAATGAAGACCATGTTCCACTCCATTTCTGTGCTCGTTTTGGGCATCACGATATAGTGAAATATTTGCTTCAAAGTGATCTGGAAGTTCAACCTCATGTTGTTAACATCTATGGAGACACCCTTTTGCACCTGTGAGTACTGCATAGCATCCCACTGACCCTGCTATATACCATACGTACCTTCCAACTTCACAAAGTTTTTTCACATCTAGGGCATGCTACAATGGTAAATTTGAAGTTGCTAAAGAAATCATTCAAGTAACAGAAACTGAAAGTCTGACTAAAGAGAACATCTTCAGTGAAACAGCTTTTCACAGGTAAAAGACCATGTATGTGCACTAGCCATTAAACTTAGCTGATGCCCTAGATAGCACCCGAGGCATGTACAGAAAGCTACAACAAATAGTAACAGATGTCGCAATCAGAGAGCAATAGCAGAGGTAGGGCAGAGGACAAGGTGCCTGAGCTGGAAGCACAGAAGAAGAGGTAGAGGCAGATGCTGCAGTCAGCACAACAGATGGGGCAGGAGCCAGATGCTGGTTTCCTGGCAGCAGCCATAAAGACAAGGACTAATGTTGCCAAGGCAACAGGCATATCAACATCTGTATGTGTATTGCTTTTATTCCTCTTCAGTCTGTGGAAACCTGCCAAATAGGGTTGTGCCAATAATCCTCTTCCAACAAGAAGCTCATTACCAGAATTCATCAGCATCAAGTATGACACTTCTTCCTTACTACTTAAACCTTTATGTGCAAATGTGTCTACCTAAGACATTCATCTGTCAGACTATAAAAAGCCTAGTCAGGATGGCCACACAATACCTGAAAAAGCAGTAGCTCTTTTCTGGGGATCAATGAGAGCCCTTCACAGTGTGGTCTAGAAAAATACCCAGAGCATCAGCAGGAACTGAAAAAGTGATCAAAAATAAACAAATAGATAAATAAATCTTTTAAATCAAACAAAACTATCTCTAAAAGCTCAAGAGTCCTAGAAAATCCATAAGCTGCTGAAAAGTGGGTGTTTTATAAAATTTAAATCGTTTATTTATAATTGATTGCTACTTTGCTGAAAAAAATGAGTTTTGTAAATCTTTATTATACCATCATTTATCTATATACCACATATTTCTTAGTATTTCATTGGGACTACTTTATTGTTTATATAACAATCATATCATACTAGTTAATAATAGAAATGAGTAGACTCTTTTTATCAGAATAAAATAAAGCTGATGCTTTTATATCAGGCCTCAACCCATCAAATTTTACATTTTTACAGGTGAGTTTTTAGTTACTTTTTAATTAACCAACAAGTTGCGCAAAAGGTAAGCTAAGATAACTTCAAAAGATTTGCACATTTAATAATTATAATCATTTTATAAGTTTGGAGAAAATTAAAGCTCAGAGAATTTAAGTAACTTTCTGGTTTCTTATGGTTGAAATATAATGTAGAAAATGTCTGCTGAACTTGAATTCCATGGTTTTATCTAGACCAATGTTGTAGTCCAAAAGGTTTGGTCTGCTTTCTAAAAAACATACTAGAAAACAGAACAGAGACAAGAACTCTTCAGGTTATATCTCTGTCAACATGGGATCTGTGCCTGAAGGAGAAAGTAGCAGAGGTGATATGTCCATACTGCTGGGTCTTATTTCTCTGTTTGGTCATGCCTGTTATAGCTGAAATCTCAGGCCAGCTTTAAAAGACTTTTGTTACCCTTGCACATGAATTAGAACTTACTATAATTAGGGGGTAACTTTCATCTCCAGGTGGTTGTCTGAATGAGATTTGTGAAGTGAGTTAGATGCATAAACCTAGCAGTTATATTGTTTAAACCTGTGGCTACTAGAAATAAAAATTTAATATTCATATTCTGTTTTAGCCACATAACTACAAAAAACTCATTACGTGAGGAATTCACTCATATTTTTCTTTGTACAAATCAGTACTTCGCACATAGGTAGCATCCCATGTACTCATTATTTTAGGTATATATCCAAATACACATGTACATATGTGTGCAACATACACACATGCATTTTCATATGTACATGTATGCCTACATATAAACATATATGCATAGAAATACAAATGTATGCATATTTTCCTCATCATTTTCTATAAATAGTAGCTTTGAAAGTGAATAAAATAATTCAGACCATGGACTACTAAATATTTAGTATTATGGATCATATTTATAAGGCAAATAGTTGGTAGATGATACATTGATATGATTGATAGGTTGTTATGGCACATTGCATTGAAATGGCCATTTTTATTCACTCAATTAGAAAGGAAGTAATTACTAAGGACCTGTTAGGGGCAGTTAACGCTGGTAGGAAAGTCAAGATGACCGAATCCCTGTCTTCCTGAAGGAATCTCTATTATACAGAATGAGGGAAAGCAAAGATACATACATATATGACTATAGCCAGTGTGCCAACTGCAATAAGACTGAAGTGACAAGCACACTGAGGAGACAACAATGAATTCTGCCTTTGGTTCAGGGGAATGCTTCACAGAGGGAGCAGTATTTCAGTGGTGTTGAGGATGCATGGTATTTTGCTAAAAAAAAAAAAGAATAACTTGATCAAGGCTATCACAGGAAGAGGGAATAGTACAACTTAATGGACTCTTTCTTCTAGAACCAAGCCCCTGCGCTATTCCTTTAGCCATGATTTAGATGGGGTTTTGCTCAATACCAGCTCAGTCCAGTCAAGTATGACAAACCTTATAGCTCTCGAGAGTTTGAAAGTACAGTATTGCTGGAGAACAAGTAATAGAAAAAGCTATTGCTTTTCTGAGAAGGAAACTATGACAACAACTAGTCAAAAAATAAAATTCCATTGACATTAGTTGGTATAATTTATTTACCTTACAAATCTGTTTTCTCTATGCATGTTAACTTTCTTAGTACATAGTAGAAATCAGAACATCCATTAAATATCCCAACACATTTATAGGCAAAATGCATCTAAACTCTTTTTTTAATTTTTAATAGATTTTTATTGTGAAAATACCATACAGAGGGGTTACAATTACATGGGCAAGATAATGAGTACATTTCTTATCAAGCATTCTTGCCTCCTCCTTTGTTTTTCCCCTATCATCCCTTCCCTCCCACTTTCACAATTACACTCCCCTCCCCCTTCCCCCTCCCAACCCCCTCCTCCCCCTCCCCCCCCCACCTAAATTGTAAAGTTTGTTATTCAACAGTGTCTTGTACATCTCTTTGTTACAATGGGTCAACCTGTATCCCTATTTAAACATTTTGTTTTTTCCTTTCCCCTCCAAAAATTATACTGACATCAAATACAGTGAAAACAGGGTTATACTGTGGGGGAGGAACTTACAAAGCAACAAAAAGAATCACATGGTACCTTATAAATACATTAGAAACAATAGCAAGAAAGAAAAAACACTTGTGTCCCTATCATGGGGTTCATTTCACTTAACATCACTTATCTGGTCATATGTACATAGCTTTTGACCTTTTCTGCTAGTCCCAGACATATACTAATTATTACAAATGCGGGAAACCATGGGACCTGTGTTCCTTTGGGCCTGGCTTACTTCACTTAATATAATTTTTTTCCAAGTCTTTCCATTTCCTAACAAATGGCACGATGTCATTCTTTCTGATGGACGCATAGAATTCCATTATATATATATATATATATATATATATATATATATATATATATGTGCCACATTTTCTTGGTCCATCCATCTACTGAGGGGCATCTGGGTTGGTACCATATCTTAGCTATGGTAAATAATGCTGCAATAAACATAGTTGTGCTGGTAGCTTTAGTATGGTCTTGTTTGTGATCATTTGGGTAAAAATCAACTCTATATGATTCAAAGACCTCAGAGTCAAAGCAGACACCCTGAAAACCCTGGAATAGGAGAAACCCTAGGTCTCCTTGGCACAGGCCAAAATTTTCTTAATAGAGACCCAGAAACACAACAAATTGAAGAAAGGTTGGACAAATGGGATTGCATGAAATTGCAGAGCTTCTGCATGGCAAAGGACATAGCTACCAATATCAATAGAAAGCCCACGGATTGGGAGAAGATCTTCACTAGCCGTACAACGGACAAGGGTCTTATCTAAAATATACTTGGAACTCAAAAAATTAAATCCCCCAACAACAAATCTTCAAAGAAACAACTGCTCAATAAATAAGTGGGCTAAAGACTTAAAGAGAAACTTCTCTGAAGAGGAAATAAGAATGGCCAATAGACACATGAAGAAATGTTCAACCTCTTTAGCCATAAAAGAAATGCAAATCAAAACAACATTGAGATTCTACCTCACTCCAGTTAGAATGGCTATAATTAAGAACTCTTTTAACAACAGATGCTGGAGGAGATGTGGCCAGAAAGGAACCCTACTGCATTGTTGGTGGGAGTGTAAACTTGTTCAACCACTTTGGAAAGGTTGGAGGTTCCTCTAAAGCTCTTTTTTCTGACCTAGTGTCTTGTACCTCTTATTGTTACAATGGGTCAACCTGTATCCCTATTTAAGCATTTCATTTTTTCCCTTCCCCTCCCCAAATTAGAGAAGTATATATACAAGATGCAGGGCACTGACATCAAATACATTGAAACCAGGTGTTATTTGGTGGGGAAGGAATATACAGAGAAACCAAAAAAAAAAAAAATCACATGATACATTATAAATACATTAGAAACAATAGCAAAAAAAACCGCTTGTGACCCCATCTTGGGCTTCATTTCTCTTAATATCATCTTAATTTTAATACATTTTTATTGTAAAATTCCTGTACAGAGTGGTTACAGTTACATGAGCAAGGTAATGAGTACATTTCCTTTCAAGCATTGTTACCTCCTCCTTTGTTTTTTCCCTGCCATCCCTTCCCTCCCACCTCCACAACTACACTGATGTTTATAACTTCCTTTTAATATACAAGATTTTCTCACCAATCTTTTCTTTTTTTAATTTAACTTTATTGTCAAGGTGATTACAGAGGCTTTATAGTTACATATGTAACACCATGAGTACATTTCTTTTCAAACAGTTACCCCTCCCTTGTTTTTCTCCCAGGTTTCCTACCCTTTGTCCCCACCCTCCCACCCCTGCTGAGTAGTAAAGTTCATTTCCAATGTATTGTCTTGTGATTATCACTGTTGCATTGGTTCAGCCTTTGTCCTTTGTCTCACCAAATATTATTCTGTAAAAATCTTATTCCTTTGAGTCCAAACATATGTTCATTTTCCTTCCCAATTTCCTCCCAGCCAGAAAGAGCTCATAATGCATACTCTCCATAGGTTGTAATGTGATTCTGTAAGTATTAATTCACTTGACATTTCAGCAACAATTCAATAAATACAGAATATATTATTTATTCTTATGTGAGATAGGTGGTAAAACTAAAATCAAGAAGATAAAGGATTTGTTCTTGATCCTCTGACATGTTTGTAAAGAAGCACTAGGTTTCAAGTTCTCATCCAATGCTTCCCTAGTACAATGACAGCATTGATGTCTTATCCTCTAACTGAGGGAGTCTTCAGAGGTAGGACATGATTTTTCCAGGGAATAATTTCAAGCAGTGACCTAGATTTAAGAATAATTCTAAGTACAGAGCTGGATTCTGCATTTGATCATCTCATAGGGTAATACCTAGGTAAAAATAAACTACTATTAAAAGAAATAATTAATGAATAAAATACTAGAAATTTAATGTTCTTCCTTTATTTCACTCCAGATACAAGTATATGGGATTTAAAACTGTTGGACAGGGCTTGCCTTAAAAACAACAACAACACAAGCAAATCACTTTTTTCTCTTCTCTCCTTCCCTTCTTCTCCATTTTGGCACTTTTATAAACACACAAATATCTATCCAGAATTAATCAAGTCTGCAGTAGTTCACTAGGACTGCTATAACAAAATTCCAGCTTAGGTGGCTAAAACAACAGAAAATTATGGTCTCTAGTTCTACAGGCTATAAGTACAAGATCACAGTATTGATAAATTGGGTTTTCTCTGAGATCATTCCTCTTGGCGTGAAGATGATTATTGTCTCACCCTGTCTCACACTGTGATCATTCCTCAGAGTGTGTTATGTGTCCTAATCTCAACTTCTGTAAGAGACCAATCTTATTGGGTTAGGATTTACTTTGGGGATTCCATTATAGCTTAACTACCTCTTTAAACAGGCCATCTCTAACTATAGTCATCTACTGAGGTTATGAGATTTGGCGCTCAATAAATATATTTTGGAAATGATATGACTCAGCCCATAAAAATGGCAGTCTATTTCTATTATTTGATGTCTTGCAGTGCTTGTACCTATGGCAAGAACATTGACCTGGTTAAATTTCTTCTTGATCAGAATGTTGTAAACATCAATCACCAAGGAAGAGATGGCCACACAAGTAAGATTGTGGTAAGACTATCACTAGTTTCAGACGTTTATCAGTTCTTAAGAAAAGTGTTTCCCAGGGGCTGGTGGCTCATGCCTGTAATCCTAACTACTCAGGAGGCTGAGATCTGAGGATCCCAGTTCAAAGCCAGCCTGGGAAGGAAAGTCTATAAGACTCTTATCTCCAATAAGCCACCAGAAAACCGGAAGTGGTGCTGTGGATGAAGTAATAGGGTGCTAGCCTTGGCTGAAGAGATAAGAGACAGTGCCCAGGCCCAGAGTTCAAGCCCCAAGACCACCACCACCTCCATCATCAACAACAACAAAAAGAACAGTGTTGTGACCAGTGGGAAGAAGTATTGGAAGTTGTCAATTCTAAGAGGTTATCTTATCAACTAAGATTATTTAAAATTGATGACATGATGAAAAGTCATAATAAAAAGCATATTGGATTGGGATCAGTTTCATTACTAGGCTAAATATTTTATCAATGTATCCTCTTAAGCTTGCGTCAGGAAAGACAGACTCCTCCAAACTGGCCTAGGTTTGGTACTCAAGAAAAAAACCTGCTTTGGGATCTTCATTCTCTTTTTCTTTGGGATCTTCATTCTCTTTTTGTGTGCAAAGATACTGTTCATTAATATATATGTATAAAGATAGAAAGTATAGTGACCAAAGGAATCTATTTAGCAGATTGACAAAAACAAAATCTTTTGTGTATTATCTTTTTTAATAGTAAAATCATCAAAAATAAATTGCTTTGTATCTGTAGAAGTAATGCTATTATGTGGGGATGGCTGGCTTTTGAAAACCAAAGGACAAGTCTTCTTCTTTCCTCCTTTTACCCTTTTATTCTTTTCTCTTACAGGATTACATTCTACTTGCTACCATGGTCACATTTGCTTGGTTCAATTCCTACTGGATAATGGCGCTGATATGAACCTAGTAGCTTGTGATCCCAGCAGGTCTAGTGGTGAAAAAGATGAGCAAACATGTTTGATGTGGGCTTATGAAAAAGGTATGTTTATAATCATTGCACCTCTGTAGTGACACATTGAACTGTGTGCATAGATTATGCCACTGCACCAATAATTCCTTTGATTCTTTGATGCCTGCACTCCTGCTTATCTGTAGATTGCATTTGAATCTCTCTGGGCTTGGATCAAAAATGTCCAACAGACCATTATTAGAAAAAGCAACTTCTGAGCAGCAGATGAACTGAAGACATTGCCAGTATCGACATACTGAAGAGAAGTAAAAATTGTGAGGGGTAATGGTAATTGAGTGGATTTTAGAGATAGTCTATATATCTTTCATATTCTAATGTACATCCAAGTTTTTAAAGAAATAATGATAAAGGAAAAAGACATATATGTCAAATAAAATGCTGCTGACAATGTTTGTCATTGAGCCAATGTAACTGAACCAGTGATTAGTGTTTAAGTGTAAACTTCCTTAAACTCAAAATGGTGAAAGCTTGAGGTGTTGGTATGAGAACTCAGTTTTGGTCATGTACTTTGACATGATTTTCCACTTAAAATTGCTGAGTTCCTGTTTCTTCAGTTGAAAATGTAGATAACAACAGCTCCCACTTCACAAGATCATAAAGACTAAGTAACATGATATGCCCAATTTGCTTAGATCAGTAACTGTCACAAAATAACTAATTCCTAATTGGTATTTTGTTAGTGATAGCAGTGGTAGTGGTAACAGGTAGGAATAAAGATGATTGATAACAAATTCTTCATTTCAAGAAAAGATAACTAGAGACATTCAGAAGTTAAACACCATTGCTGTCATTGGTATTAAGATATATTATACCTCTTAAGCAAGTTCTACTTGTACAAAGAAACTCCTAAGGAGTTTAATTTGGGGAGATGACATGGAGCATATACATTGTCATTAAAATAGTTATGAACCAGACTTTTAGATCTCAGACCCAAAGTACAAGAGTTACAGAGTCAAATCTGGCCACTTTCCCCTACCTGCTAAAGAGACATGGTGAAGGACAGAGAAAGAAAATTTAGGAGACAGCACTTTCAGTATATCTTTAGTAATACAAACATTTTCTCTAGCTTTACAATGGGCAGGAGAAGAGAAGTATCCACACTGATTCACCGGTGTGGCCTGGCTACCCATTGTACTCTGACTCTGGAGGGGTTCCATGGAAGTTGTTGTGGCTTCAGCCACTTGAGAGGAGCAATAACAATTTGTATGGCAGGAGGTCTCATGAGCTTTTTGGAGGTCCTCTTTCTTAGGGGGCAGTTTCACCTTCTGCCATATGGTAAGAAGTCATTTCTTGTCTAAGGGGCAGTTTGCCTTTTGTCAGTAGATACTTACTGGTAAATCTTCCTGAAGGTGATTGCAAATGACTGAAAGAGCGAATGGCTCAGATCACAGGGTATAGATGGAAAGTAGAAAACTAGGTGCTTAGCTTTTATGGTTATTTTGGTTAATTCCTGGACCCAGCAAAAGCAGTTTTAAGTTGACCTCTATTGTTGCACACTCAGACTTTTAGGAAACATGTAATTGTTAACTCTTGATGACTGCCCTTTTCTTTTAGGAAGTTTAAAACATATAAGGAAATGAAGCTTTCCTTTGGTTAATGCTAGAATCCTGTGAAACCATACTGAAAACTGTAATTACTAAACTAAGATTTCTCTCTACAATGCTAATATAAAAGATTTTATGAGTGAAGTAGTAGATGAAAGTCAATCACAGTAAGGAGAGAGATGGAGCTATTACAAGCATATAGACAAAGAGGAAAAACCTGTCTGATCACTCCTAGTGGAAAAAGTGAGAGGAATTATTTTTTAAAAACAGAGAATAAACCAGATGCTGGGTGGCTCACACCTGCAATCCTAGCTATTCAGGAGGCTGAGAGCTGAAGATTTCAGTCAAAGCTAGCCCAGGAAAGAAAATCCATGAAACTCTTTATCTCCAATTCACCAGCAAAAAAATGAAATAAAAGAAGGAATAAAGGAAAGAAGGAAGGAAGGAAGGAAGGAAGGAAGGGAGGGAAGAAGGAAGGAGAGAGAGAGAAAGAGAGAGAGAGAAAGAGGGAGAGAGAGAGAAAGAAAAGTCAGGCCAGAACTGTGGTAGAGTCCTAGCCTTGAGTGACAAAGCTCAGTTCAAGTCCTAACACTGGTGTTAAAAAAGAAAATAAGAAAAATAAAACAGCAAATGTAAGTAAAATAATAACAACCACTTTTGACACATACCAAATGAGTACAAGTCTTTTTCCCAACTGAACCTACCCAGTATCCTGATGATGAAACTAAACATGATCAGACAGCAACCTGGAAGTCCCAATTACAATCTCTTCCAATTTCTCTCTCAAAGAGGATACCATTGGCTTCTGGCATGGGTTTTTCTCTCTCAGTACTTTATATAACTGGAATTCTATAGCAAGTACTACTTTGTGCCTTGCATCTTTCGGCCACCAATTTGTGAGACTCATCCACCTAGTTGCAAGTAGTTGTGCATTTTTATACTTATAGTTGTAGACTTTCATGTTTTTTGACTATAACACTTTTCATTCTACTATTTATGGACATTTGGATAATTTTCACTTTATGGCTATGAAAACACTGCGCGATAAATAGTCTCATATCTGTGAACTGTACATATCTTTTGAAGGGTATAGAAATTCTGTTTGGTACAAAGGCTTTCTGTTAGATATATAGAATTTCAGACTTTAAAAAAATTCTAGATAACTCCATTTGTAAGTGTCAGTTTGCAAATTTTGAATATTCCAAATTTTTGGGAAGTCTTAACAGTAAGGCTTTTTTTATATTTCCATAATATATTGCATTTATTCCACTGATTCCAGATAGTATCTCTTAAAAAATCTGAGCTTCAGAGTAAGACTGTTTACAAAGTATTAGTCTCCTGGAAGGCAGCTCAGAAATTGCTATTGCAGCTGTCTCTTCACAGGGATTGCCTTTGTTTGTTTTTAAGTGATTGAGAGTGATAGTTGAAAACTAGCCTTACTTTTTGTGTGTGTTTCTGTGTATTAGTAGAATTTCAAACCTTACAAAATATTGAATCAGTGTGTAAATGCCTAAGATTTCCTGGAAAATTCCCTTAGCTTAGAGGACTTGCCCACTGATCTCTGCAACATATGCCATATTTGTCACCCTTATTTGTTCAACTAATATGTCAGGCACCGGTGTTGGATTCATAATTACTATGAATGTTAACAAACTGATTGTTAGTATCCAGGAGTGAGATGGATGTTTTGCCTATGTTCTAGGGCAAAACAAGTCAAACCAACAAAATGAAAATGGTTGCTATTTTGTCTTGCTGTAGAAATATTTCATTGTTTTCATGGGTTTAGAGAGGACTAAAATGCCCTTGTTAATACTGTCAACAGCGCAGAGTTTATTTTGTTTAAATAAAGAAGGGCTTCTCTTTCTTCCTTGGTAAAAGAGCCAACAAGTTAATTGACATGGAATAGTAAAAATTTGAATAACTTGGAGATGGAGTTGAGAAAGCAGTAAAACTCCTTCTCTAGAAACAGAGATGGTACCAGAACGATGGCTCCCTGGTTTCTCATGTAACCTATCCTGTCCTAAAAGAAGGAAACTAGATGAGAAGCTAGAGGTAAGTTGTACTAGGAGAGTCTGTCTACATGAAAGTACATTGGGATATGCTCAAATTAAGTAGCCCATACAATCCAGCTAAAATGGCTCACACTTGTAATCATAGCTAGCCTGGATGGGTGGATGAAGAAGACTGTGGCTCAAGCCTAGGCCCCCTCCCCAAAATTTAAGGAAACCCTATCTCAACAAAATGAGCGGGACATTAAGACACGTGCCTGCCAACCTAGCAATGGGGATGGGCTGTTGGCCCTAAAGGTAGGACAGTTGAAGTCCAGGCTAGCATCAGGCAAAAGTACTAGGTCCCTCGTGAAAAATAAATAAGACAAGATGTGCTAATCATGTGGTTCAGGTTGTAGATACTCAAGACCCTGAGTTTAAACCCCAGTATGGCTACATGAATAACTCATCCTAAACTATTCTATTAACAGGAAACTGTGGAATTTTTCTCAAAAGTACTTGTTTCTAAAAGATTCTTAAAAACAATTTTTATATCTATCTCAGAATAAATTTTAGCTAATCTTCATTCTCCTATTTGAATAGAATATATGCAAAGGTGCTGTAGCATTCTGGAAAACTTACCGACTCTCTTCTTGGAGGCCTTAATGAAGGGTTAAAGGATTTGGACACACAGATTCCCATGGAATAAGATATGATGAATGTTTTCTAGCTACCCAGTCCTTTTAACTTAAAGAGATCAAAATCAACCTTGGCACTTTCTCTGGTGACCTCGATCCTACGCTAAGCCCACTGGTTCCATATTAAAATTGCTCTGCTAGACTGCTTCCAGCTCCAATTTTATAGCATTTAGAGTGCTTCTCTTCCCTGAGTGTCTCCCTTCTTCTCTTCTACTATTCCATCTGAAAATGTAGTGACAGCTTATCTGCCTTTTCCCTAGGGTAAAAAGGACTTGCATGAATCAATTTAAATTGTCCAGAAGAAATAGCCAGTGGCCTGCTTATGTTCAAATCCCACAACCCTAATCATCAGTATGGAAAACCCATTGAAAATATCTACACATAATCTTACATCCATTGCATTAAAGATGAAACTGTCGAATTGAAAAGATCTCAGCCAATTAGAATTGAACACAGCTCAATAGAGTGTCTGGCAGTTCGAGTTGAAAAGACTGCCTTTGACAAAGAAAAGCACTCCTTTGTGTCAGGCTGTTTAGGGTCAGAAAATAACCCAAACTCAAAACAGAGCTAAAAACTTCTTATTTGCTTCAGCTCTGACATCAGTTAACATAATTTGCAGAGGCTTCTATCCTGATATCTAATTACCCAGAATACAATATTTGTATACATCCGAAGCACTCTAATTCACAGTGACAGGGAGCTGGAGTTGGAGAATTAGTGAGTAAGTGAGCAAAAACAATAAAAAGCAAGGTTCCTGTACCATGATATACACTTTGTTC